GAGTGTATGGATCTGTTGGATGAACTCCTGAATAAATCTCAATGAAATGGGGAGATATCTTGTAGGGAGAAGTGATTTGAGGATTCACTGGACTGTGAGATTATAACAATAATGAGAGTTAAAAAGTATCAACTGAATTTTTAGTTAATAAAACACAGGACAAGATTTAATTGTCCATTAAGAGGAACAAGCTTCCAGAATATGAAACAATTTGGTTATAAAGTAACTGTACTAAATTTTCTGTAGAGACTCATTGCCACATGATTGTTAAAGTGATCAGAGCTTTTGAAAAATAAAAACAGAATGAAAACCAACTTAAACTCTGAACAGTAAACAAACTAATAATATAAAACCAGAAGCCAAGTGCTATGGACTGAATGTCTGTGTCCCCTCAAAATGTATATGTTGAAATCCTAACCCCCAATATGATGTTATTAGGATGGTGGATGGTGGGCCTTTGGGAGGTGATTTGTCCATGAGGGTAAAGCCCTCATGAATAAGATTAGTGCTCTTATGAAAAAGAAACCCCAGAGAGCTCTCTTACCCTTTCTGCCATGTTATGATACAGTAGGAAGATACCTATGCACGAAACAGGCCCTTACTAGACATAGAATTTGCCAGTGCCTTGATCTTGGTGTTTTATCCCTCAGAACTGTGAGACATCAATTTCTGTTTTACCATAACAAGTCTATGGTATTCTGTTAGAAGCTTGAACTGATTAACACGTAGGGGTTATCCCACTTTCCCTTTTCTCTTGAAGAATACAGGTGAATCTAGTTTTCAAAGGCTTTTAAAAAAATGCTTGTAATAGAGTAATATTTAGATAATAACCACTGTGTTATTCATCCACAGGAATTCACATTTTCTTCTCTCTTTCTAGCACTATTCAGGCAGCAGTGAAGCCTTTCTATACAGATTGCCCACAGGTAGGATTGTTATAGCAGTAAAATAGAAAGACATGACATCTCACAGCTTTTGAGTTTCTAAATCGATTCAGAGAGAAGACTTTGAGCTTCGCCAGCATCGTTTTTAATACTAGTAGAGCCAACACTTATACTATAAACCAGTAGTTTACAATTTTCCCCTTGCATCAGTATCACCTGGGGGTGTTTTAAAACTGACCAGTGCCTGGACTTGTAAAAAAACAAGCCAAGCAGAGAAGGACAAGTATCACATGATCTCACTTATTTGTGGAATATAATGAACATAACAGTCTGAAGAACAGGGTAGTCCCAGAGACGTGGAAGTAGGGTACAGACTGACAATCCCTAGAGGAGGGAGTGAAGGGGGAGAGATAAACCACAGAGCTTATACCCATGTATGCATGAACAATGGACATGAAGAACGAAGCTGGAGAAAGGGCACGGAGGGAGGTGGAGGAGGGTGTCAATGGGGAAAAAAGGAGAAACATCTGTAACATAAATAAATTGATTAATTAATTAAAAAAGACTCAGTTTTAATTGATTTTGGTGCGCGCTCGCTCTCTCTCTCTCTCTCTCTCTCTCTCCAGATAATTCTAATGTGCAACCAGAATGGAGAACCAATGCCTTAAAGCAGTTGTTCCCAAACTTTGTTGCATGTTAAAAATCACCTGGAGAGCTTTTAAAATCCACAGTGCTAAGGTTGCACTCACACTGATGTAATTAGAATGTGTGGAGGTAGGAGCTACATGTCTTAAACAGTAGATTTGGGAAGAATTCCTGATGAGAGTTCTGTTGCATTATATTCAGAAGTTTCCACAGGTTGGCAAATGAGAGGGCCTCTGTGATACTTGCATCCCGCACCCTGCATCCCCCATCCCCATTAAGTCATGTAGTGGGTATGGGCAGTGATGGTCTGGTTAATGTTTAACAGATGAGTACCCAAGAAAAAAGCCCTGATTTGTGGTGTTTTCTACTTTATGTGGTGCAAATACTCCCACCATGCATGACCAATTTCAAGTTGCCAACACAGTATCATTGATTGTGGTGCTGGAAAGATATAAACAATTGGCTCTAGCAAGTCCATATCAGCTTCTCTAGCATGCTACTGGATATGAGCGTGATAAATCCTTCACACAAATTTGGGAATCTGAGAGCAGAGAAACTTGCTCTTTATTTCTAGGCTTAAACCAGAAAAGAGATGAAAGAGACTGTTTCCCGATAATGTGTCATCTTGAGTAGAAATGGGGGCACATCTAAGAGGGTCTAGGTAGCAAGGGAATGATAGCACTTCCCATGTTTCTTGTCACTTCTTAGTGGTATAAGAGAACATCCAGATTTTCCTGTACTCTTGAGAGGATTATAGAAGTGGCTGAACATGAACTGGAACAGTTCAAGGGGCCTTGAAATTAGGCTGAGAAACACATGAAGAGTTTTGAATGATTGGTTACTGAAAGGCACACAGAAATAAGCTAGAGATGCAAAATGGAGGGTGCCAATAGGGGCAAAAACCAGTAACAATTGAAAATCAGAGACCTTCAGAAGCCATGATGCTACTAACTTCTCTGACCTATAGTCAGAAATAGAAAAGGTGACAGTTGTTAATCATTGCAGTAATTAAAGGTTAGTAAACGAAATATAGCCAGAATTCCACCCCCCCCCCTCATTTCTTGTCAGAGCCAAAACAACAACACAGTTTTAGGTTCATCTTGTTAGAGCTATTGAAATGATGCAGCAGGAATTTTTTCTTTTCTTGCTTCCGAAAGAAATAGCTAGCAATATTTTGCAGATTTGCTCTGACAAAGAACAGTATGACCTAAGTTCATTGTGGCGATTTGACTGAAGGTTGATGTAAGTAGGACAAGATGGAACACCTTATTAAAAGAGCAGGTATGAACATACCACTTAGAATAGGAGTGTAACAGGAAGCTTTTTTGCCCTTTCTCAGGGATGTGCATTGCTGAACCTCTCATCTGCCATTTGTAGATGCCCAAGCCCTCACTGAGTACCTGGTGCCATTTAAACTAGTTCTGGTCTTGTACTCTGTGATTCTTACATACTGTCAGTGGTAGGAGCAATTTTGTTAGGAGAGGCTGAACAACAGAAAGACCACCAGATTGAGGATGGGTAGATCTACATTATCATCCTGGATCCATATCAGCTGTGTGATCATGAGCAAATCTGTTTTTGTAAATAAAGTTCTATTGGAACACAGCCATGCCCATTCAGTTACTTATTATCTATGGCTGCTTTCACACTCCAAAGGTAGAGTTGAGTAGTTGCAACAGACTGTCTGGCTTGTAAAGCTGAAGATATTTACCATCTGGCCCTTTATATAAAACGTTTTATGACTGCGGATTTATAATGGATTCTAGTCTACACAATTATTTAGGCCCTAAACTGGAGTAATCCTTATTCTTCTCTTTCTCTTATACTTCCATACAATTCTCCAGTAGTCCTTTCAGCTCTTAGAAAAATATTCTGATTCTGATGTCTAATCATCACCACTGGTTGGAATCACCATCATCTTGTTTCCCCCCTATCATTTTTTGCCTGGATCAGTGTCCCTGCTTTTACTTGTGTCCTGTTTTCTATCTGTTCTCAATATAGCAGGTGGAGCGATCCTTTAAAAATGCCAATCAGATTATGTCACTTCCTTGTCCCAAACTTACAATGGTTTCCCACTACATTTAGAACAAAACTGAGAATTCATATCATGGCCTCTGAGGCACTACATTATTTTCCCTGCCCCAAACCCATTTCTACAATGTGACTGACCTAATCTCCTTCCATTCTTCCCTTCCTTCTCTCTCTCGGCTATACTGGCCTCCCTGCTTCTTAACTCTCCAAATATGTTCTTGCCTCAGAACCTTTGCTTTTGCCATTGCCTTTAGCTTGAATATACTTGCCTTGGATATCCATGAGCTAACTCCTTCGCTGCCTTCAGGGATCTGCCTGAATGGCATCTTAGAGAAGACTTCTTTTACTGCTTTATCTAAAAAAGTACTTCAGCCTTCTCTATCGCCTTTCCCTGCTCTTTCTTCAGAGCAGTTATCTATTTTGTTATTGTCCACTTCCCTCGTTAGAATGCAATTCTAGATACTGTATCCCAAGCACAGTGTTCAATAAATATCTGTTGAATGAATCTGTTGAGTGAATGGATCTCAGTCTCTTCATGTGTAAAATAAATGAGAGGGCCATCTGGCTGAAGCATCTGTTACCGAACTGGTTGCCAGGATTGTTTCTACTGATCTGACTGGCTAAGTCGGCATCCCTTTCTCCTATGTCAGTCCCTTCCAAAGCCTATGGACAAAATGGTCAAGAGTATCTGAGTTCTGATGTTTGCTTGTTGGAAACTAAAAACAAGCTCTTTTCTGCCTACCACTTATAGAGGTAGATAATAGGTTTCAATCCATTCTGGGATAGAATGGGGGCACATTGATACACAGTGAATTGGAAGCAGAAACAATTGACTCCTGTCACATTCTTCAGTGGTTTCCCATGTAGCAAGACACAGGCACTAGAACCCTGCTTCTCAAGCTGCAGTGTGTGGAGGAATTCCTAGAAGATTTTGTTGAAATACAAAATTTAGTAGGTATGCACTGGTAATTGAGACTGTATTTCTAACAAGCACCCACATGATGCCAATGTTGCTGGTACACGGACCATACTTAGTTTAGGCTTGGCCTGTGCTACATAGCACTCTAAATAAGCTACTGAAGATATATCTTTAAAAAATATCTTGGGCAATATAACATTGTCACACTTAAAGTTAAAATTATGCTCATTTAATATGACCTAATAGTTAGTAGGTATTCAAATTGTTCTAATTGTTTACAAAATGCCCTTTAATGAGCCAGAATCTACTCTAGGACCACCCATTGCATGTGGTTATGTCCCTTAAGTCTCTTTTATTTCAAACCAGTCTATTTTTCATGACCCTGACTTACCGATGGGCAAGTGGCCCATAAAAATATTTTACTTTCTAGACTTGTGTGGTTGCTTCCTTGTGGTATCACTTTGTTGAATTTAGCTGCATTTCCTGTAAACTAGAAGTTGTCTCTAAAAGCTTGATGGGTAGTGCTCATTTCGGCAGCACATATACTAAAATTGGAACGATACATAAATTAGCATGGCCCCTGCGCAAGAATGACACCCAAATTTGTGAAATGTTCCACATTTTTATTAAAAATGGAACTGCTGTTTGAGCAATCCCACTTCTGGGAATATATTATAAAAACCCTGAAACACCAATCAGAAAGAATATATGTACCCCCATGTTCATAGCAGCACTATTTACAATAGCTAAGATCTGGAAACAGCCCAAGTGTCCATCAGTAGACGAATGGATAAAAAAGCAGTGGTGCATATACACAATGGAGTACTATGCAGCTGTAAGATAGAAAGATCTCTTATCCTTTGAGATGGCATGGAGGGACCTGGAGAGTATTATGCTAAGTGAAGTAAGCCAATCAGGGAAAGACAAGTACCACATGATCTCACTTACATGTGGAATCTAATGAACAAAATGAATTAACCAACAAGATAAGTCCCGAGGCATGGAACAGACTGACATATCTTGGGGTGGCGGGATGAAAGAGATAAACCAAAAAACTTACATACTTATATGCATAGCCCATGGACACAGACCCTAGTGTGGTGAAGCCCTGCGGGAGTGGGTGGCTAGGTGGATGGGGATAAAGGGGAAAATGGAGGACAACTGTAATACTGCCAACAATAAAAAAGTATATTTTAAAAAATAAAAACTTGATGGGTATACATTAAATATTTGCCACTGGAATGGTCACAGATAATGGGTACATTATATGTATCACATTAAGTGACCTGTGATACCTGCTTGTTTGTACCATTAATGATGCAAAGATTGAGTCCTGGATTAGGGTGATGACAGCTTGATTTTCAACAAGTGTGCCACAAGAATTTTTAAAACATTCAATACCTGGCTATTTAGTCAGGGGCTCTGACCTCTTTTCCTTAGATTGTCAAATAAAAACAACAGCCAAATAACAACAGCCAACACAACAACAGCCATCTGGTGTGAATGAATCCAAGTTATACCTATTTTTTTGGTCATATCGGTTAAAATACATATTTTTTGGTGTGCTGCAGAATTTTAGTAATTAGTTTATGCGTGCCATAAGATGAAAAAAATTTGAAAGTCACTGCTTTACCTATACTTTAAGTTTCCCTCTTTGAGATCAGAGCTCTAAGATTGCTTGGTTTTTCTTTGTTCCTCATCAACCATTCTTCTTAGTAGTTTTTTTAAAAAACACCAATTGATAATCCTTTCCTGAATTAATAATTTCTTTGGGAGTTGCAAAAATGATGATTGTGTAATTCTAGTATTCCTTTTACACGTATTAACTGGTATTGTTCTGGAATGAAGAGCTGTCTTTTATCAACTGGGTCTATTTGGCTACTTTCCAGGATTAATGGATTCTTTTCATTTAATCACCACCTTTTATTTTATTTTATTTATTTATTTATTTTTTAATCCTCACCCGAGGACATTTTTCCATTTTTTTTGCACAGATAGAGTGGGAGGGAGAGAGAGGAAGAGAGAGAGAGAGAGAAACATCGACGTGAAAGGGACACATCGAGTGGCTGCCACCCGCACGACCCAACCAGGGCCGGCGACAAACTGCAACCGAGGTACATGCCCTTAGCGGGAACCGAACCCGGGTCTCTCCGGACCGCAGGCCGACGCTCTAACCGCTGAGCCAAACCGGCCAGGGCTAATCACCACCTTTTAAAGGAAAGAGTTGGTTAAAGAGCTTCCCCGAATGGTGCCCAATGAGTTTTTCTTTTTGGCTTTATTATTATTATTTTATTTATGGATTTTTCATAGATTCGATATATTTCAAATAACTACATTGTTCTTTTTGATGCTCATTTATCATGAGTTTGGCCAGTAGGCGGGGCACTTTCAATCTGACTCTGTTATTTTGACAGGACCCAATTAATCTTTAAAAGTTCTCTTTCTTTCTTGTTCATAAGGTGTCTCAGACTAATTGTACCTTCTCTGCTCCATGCCTGGAATCAGCCATTTTTTCCAAGGACTCGCTGGTTCCTTTGAATGAAGAATGGGTATTAGAGGAAAAAAAGAAGAGTTTCAAGGTTATGTATTATAACTGGGGTGACATTGCTTCTGGGGCATTTTAATGCAGAGCCAGAATGACTTCATATTGATATATCCAACTAATTTTAACATCATTGTGTTTTTACTTAATTTTGATTTTATAATTTTCTTTTACTCTGGAAATCCCAATTCTTAACATAATTACTTGTTTTTTTGAATCTTGCAATATTAAAAAATAGTTTCTGAATAAGAATAACACTATTATGTATAACAATATTATAAAATGATTTAAAATTTTTTTATGAATCTTTTTAACCTTAGATAAAATTTTTTCCTTAGGCTGAGCTTTTTAAGAACTTAGTTTTGGTTAGATACTAGAAATTCTGTCAATATTACTTGAATGAATAGTCTGTTGAGTAAATAGACAGTTTTGGTTCCTAAATATTCCATACAACAGAACAAAAGTGTGTTGGGGACATAGGTGAGTTATAAAGTGGATTTTTTAAAAGTCAAGTTCATTTAGTAAGTAATCAGTAGCTGTTTGAAATCCATAAGCCTGTTTGCATAAACTTTTTATGTATTTTAAATATATTGATATGATTTAAGAAGTCAGTTTATGCAGAATCCTGAATTTGGATTGAATCTTCATTAATAGGATTGTGGATTGAAACTTTTTCTTTTTTCAGTTCCCATTAAAAGGCATGAGGAAAGAAGCAAGGAATTATGGGAGGTTGTGAAAGACTAGGACAGGGTTTGCCCCAACAAAGTATGAAGAATTGTGAATGATGCCCGAACTGCATATACTTCAGTTACCCATTTCTAACTTCACAAATGAGTTAATTCTTATTTTAATCTTCCTCTCAAATGGAGCACAAGCATTTAATCATTGGTTTTACATAGAAATATTAACTTTCATTTGATGGAGGAGGAAGAAGGAGAAATGGCTCTAAGAGAAAAGGATTTCCAGGATTCCTTCTGATATTGGTAAGGTGTTGGGGATTTTTCTTCCTGTCCCATAGGGGTCAATAATCTAGCAACTGCTTTTTATTTTACTCTGCTCTGAGTCAGGAAGAACTTTCATAGTCACATCATTCATGCTTCATTTATCAATAAGTTTTAAGAAAGGAATGCCAGTTTAAACATGTAATTTAACTCTCTGTTCCTCACAATAACCAGTGGGTGCAATTTATTCATCACACATCAATACATCTAACTCATAACAACAGGAAGTTTACCTAAGACAGTCATTTGAGAATTAAAAGAGTCTATACATGCTGACAGAACAAGCAGCTTGAAGCATTTTCTGCCAATTTATTATTGACCCAGTGGTTCCTTTGAAAACTCTCCACTCAGCAAGAGAAAATAGGGAGATGTGAAAAAGAAATTGTTTGTGGAGGCAATCTAGAAGCTATTTAACATTGGGATGTTTTCTGTGTATTTACTGGGCTTGAGCCATCCATCCCTCTCTCCAAATTCAGATTCTCTTCACTTCCTTTATAAGCATAACCTTGGGTCATGAGCTGTGTGGCTAATTGGAGAATAAAAATTCATTTTATGTACCCTGGTATAAATGTCAGAGCCTGACCAGGATAAAAATAGCCACTGCTTTTTTTCTTTTTCAAACAATGTCTTTATTGTGTCTCAGGGTCTTTGCTCTTTGATTAAGTACATTGCTTACAAGAGGCAGGAACTCTGTTTCTCATGCTTTCAGAATCCTTACCATTATGATAAGTAATGTGGCCAACTTTCAGGGGCTCAAAAGTTCAAAGTGAGAACCATTTCTCAAAATGTAAGGTCACAAAGAACAAGTGCTACCTTCTTTCCTTGAGACAATTGTTCACTCAAGGTGGGGTTCCTTATCTCTAGAAGACTTTAGGAAACTCATTCTACGGTGAGATTTGGAGACAGCCTACTGATGAGAATCCAGCACTTCATTGTACGTATTGTGACCATATTTTCTGAACTAAAAATCAGCACCGGATCTGGCAAGATGATAAAATATTTGAAAATGGGACTACTCTAGAAATCTTCCACATATGGTTGCCATACCTTGATGTCTTTAGAAAAGCCACACTTGATTTGTGTTTGATGTCATCTGGATATCATATGATATCATATTCTTTGAATCTTCCAAAAGTAAGTTGGGCTCTTTTTGATTTGAGGGTTAACCATCATCATATAGAATTTGTAGTAAGTAATATGTGCAATAAATAGAATATCTGTAGTGTCCTTAAATTACTTAGTTTTAATGTTTTTATTTGTATATTTGTCTTATTATTTCAGTTATATTTTACACTCTTCAAAGGCAGGTCATTTTGGACCTGCCATAGAACCTAGAATGGTAGACTTACCATTTGCTGATTTAATACATGTGTTTTCAGTATCTACCCTACATCGCCAAATCCTCAGTGACTGAAATGTCTAGCCAGAACTGTGTTTTAGGCGATCATTCTCTTCCAATGTAACTTCACTGTGACATAAATGCAAGTAACTTGTAGAGCTTAGCGTAGTAAGGTGGCTATTAAGTACAGGCTGAAACATTACTGCTTTTATAGGAGGGAGTCTCTGTGCAGAAAATTAGGCCTTTGGGGCTGGTGGTCTTTGAGTAAATGTCCTTGTCATCCCCAGTGAATGTATTGCTCTCATAATAATGTGTAGATGGAAGAAATGGGCTAAGGCTGTTAGTCATCCATCTAATGCTTTAGGCATTTTAGAAATGGTAACAAATTGGGCCCTGTTATTGCACAATTTTTCTATTAGGTGTTTGAAAATGTCAGACATGAGAAGGAAGGCAAGGTGTGGCACACCTGCCTCCATTTATACTCAACACCATTCATTGCTTTTTTTCTTTACAAGAAACTGAACAAGGAACCAAGGCAGAGGCATAATACACCTTTGTGCTGGTGCTTTGAGCCTGGATGGAACAGAAGATGAAAGAAAAATATGAAAAACCCAAGTGTCTGTGATGCAAGAAAGAAGGTTCATCATGTAGAGGAATAATTCATTTGAGCATGAAGAGCAACTTAAAATTTCTATTAAACCTTCACTGAAAGAGCTGTGACTTGGGTTTACTTTGCCTTCTAT